CTTTGTGTTTATAGAAGATTATTTCAATTGAGTAGAGTTGGGCTCAATGATATTTTTCTTTTTCGAGATTTTTTAGTACAAATTTTGTTCTTTTCTTTCTTTTTGTCATTTATGTATTTGTTTGTGACATCTTCATGTGAAATTAGGACACGGGACTTGTTCTCTATTTTTTGTTTTTTTAATTATTTTTTTCATAGGAATCAATTAGCAAGAGCTTGGATATCGATAGTAATAGTTCACGATCAACTCTATGACCTCTACAAATGCCCACTTGTCAACAACTGATTATCATCTCTATGATACTACACCAACAAGTTTTCATTATCCTGCATGAATCTCAAAGCATAACACGGATCTCGAGACGATATTTTGAGCAAAAAACATTTAAATATTGATAAAAACTCATCCAGAGCACCAATTTCAGTAAACTTATAGTCAAATTGACCAACTCGATACGACGGGCCTAATGATATCAAAGTTAGTTCAATCCGAGTCAAATCAAGCCCAGATCAAGTCATTAAACCATTCTTTGAAGATTTTTGGACACATGTGAAAGCTCAAACAAAAGCCAAATCTGACAAGTTTATAGTCAAATTGAGCGTCTTGACAAGACGAACCCAACGAGCCCAAGTTCACCTTATTCTAACTTCATTAAAGCACTCAAATGTCAATTAATCACCGTTTGATTGAGGGAAACTCTTCAGACTGTCCGATCAAAATGGTTCATATTCCTACATTAATTGCACCTAAAACACTATAAACAGAGTGCCTCCCCTCTCATGAAGGGGGGAGCTTAAACCTAGAGAGAGAGAGCCTGAGGCTTTGATGAGGAGTTGCGGCTCAGCATCACCGCTGATAATCGTTGACCACCGCCGAACTCTATTGGCCTTCGCTAATCGTCATCAATCACTACCAACCAGACGCCGACATTCGACGCTGTAATCTAAAAAATATAATTACACTTTTCCTTTTGTGGGACAAGAGATTTTTTAATCATCAATCAATAATGAATTTTCGCAACTAGACTATGCCTTCCGGGTTTTCCACGTAAAAACTTTTGGAATAATCACTACTAATTTCTCTTTCATCCGTGTATGTGTTGAATTCTTGTACAATGCTAAGACGATAATCGATTACTCTACAGCCGCAGATTTTCTAGCACACATCAATAGTGTAGATCACTATCAACCAGACGCACGATTACCATTAATCTTATGTTATCTCCCAATCATTGTCAACTAATTGTCATCACTTGATCATTGTCGCACGATCATCATCATCCAATCCTTGTTATCTCCCTTCACTACTTCCAAAATATATACTACAACCAGACAAAAATTAAGAACATGCTTCCACTTTATAATTTCGTCTTCTTCAATTAGAGGGAAGAGCAAATGTTTGCACCTTCACATATCTAATGGAATATTTCAAATGTGTTAGATCACGTAATTTTTTGTTTTCCTAATTTTTTATGTAAAAATTTTGATGTATCATTTTCACCATTATTTATTTGATTGTGTGTAATATCTTTGTACAAAAATAGGGTAACTTTTTTTTCTCTACTATCATAGATATTTTAATATTCAATAATAATTCTTACTATTTTTATAATAATATATGATAATTTTAAGTCATTCAAAAAAGATAACATGGCAAGTGAGACATAAAATAATTTAGTGGGACATACCTAAAAGGTGAACTAAAGAAAACATATGCCATCAATTGAAATCCTCTCATACTTTATGCAATTTCAAAAGAGATGAGCTTAGAATTATGGTTTATTTAATAAATAAAGTGCCAAAATAGTCCATGGGCCATTTTAATCTCATAATTTATAAAAATATTAAATTAGTTCCAATACTTTTTTAATAAAGGGTACAATACTCTCATTTAAGACTATTTTAACATAAATTAAAAAAGTCGGGAGATTAAATTGACACTTTTATAAATTTTAGAACTAAAATGACCAACTACAAAAAATGCATGAATAATTTTAATAGTTTTCTTGTTGTTTTATAAGTTATTAAATCTAATTTAAAATTTCTTAATAATTTCATTCATCTTTTTTTCAATTGAATATTATTGGAACCTCTTAGAACACAAGGCCAATATAATTCGTTAATTCACCCAATTCGAAGAGAGATCTTGTAAGATGTGACGAGGCCGTGGAGAGAGGTAGAGTCCAAGCTTGCGTCTTACTCTTATGGTTTTTTTCTTCCCTTTTCCCCCTCCCCTAAGAGCAAGCAAGGACTCCTCCATTTATATCTTTCATAGGGTGCCATTGATTATAGTAGGCTTACACGAGAAAAAAATAAAAATACGATATTGTCGTCAGTACTATAGGAGGCTTATCCGAGATTTACTGTTAAATGGATACCGTTGTGAATGTCAGACTGCTCATAAATGAGCATTTCCTAGGGAGTCACCGCATCTTCCATATTTAAGCGACTTTGTGAGGAGAGCTGGACCGAGGAACATGAAAGGTCTTTCAACGGGTAAACTTTGTTTCTATCCTGATTGCCGATGTGATCAACAAATACGATTAATCAGCCATAGATGAGCAGCAGGCACATGAAAAAAATTCAAATTTTGAAAAAAAAAAAATCAGGTCTAATAGGCCCCTAAGGCCTTTTTTCATCTACAAAGACCCATAAAGACTATTTTTATTTGGGATGTACAAATATGAACGCTATACATCAAACGTGTGCTCCACTGTCGGTCAAGTAGGGCTGTCAAAACGGTTCGTTGTTCGCGAACAACTCGTGTTCGGCTCGTTCACTAAGTTAATATTCTTTCGTGTTCGACTCGTTTTAGCTCGAATATATATATATATATATATATATATATATATATATACATAGATTTATAATCAATTAAAATTATTAATTAAAAAAATAGAGTAAAAAATATTAAATTAGATTCAAATAATACTTTAAATCTTGCCGTAATCCTTAACATTTTATGGCTACGTGATTAGGGTTATCAAAACGACTCTTTGTTTGTGAAAGGCTCGTGTTCGGCTTGCTAAACAAACGAGCCGAACACGAACACACTTTTTTAGCTCGAAATATAAACGAGGCGAACATAAGCTATGTCTGGGCTCGCTCGTGTTCAGCTCATTTACACCTCTACAGCCAAACATCTTCATCAAATGATCAACAGATCTCAGCCCTCTACCCGGCATTTATGCCACAATCGTTCCACAATCAAACCACCTAAGCGATCCACACCGTCCACTCTAATTTTGCCTTCGATATTCTACGGAAATTTGCGTGCGCGAATGTCTCACCCCAAAAGGAGAACAGGTCAGTCTACCGAAAAGCATGACTGTGATGTCAACCAACTGGCGTGTCCTTCCAACCCACTCCATCGCATTCCTCAAATTATTTACGCAGGTGCCACTTAAGGAGAGTTCATTACATAATTTAAATATATTTACTAAAATCATGTTATTAAATAAATCGTTCCAAATGCATCGAAATGAAATCTTTTAGTGAAATAATTTTTAATCTAATTTGATTGCAAATATTTATAATTTCAATGATTTCTAAATAGGGTGCAAAATAAATACTGTATATGTATCAAATATTTATGAAATTGATAGGTTATAGAATATATTAAAAAAAATTTTATTGCTCTAGAAATAAATAAGTAAATTATTTTTATTTTTAACGAGTTGCCGTGTGATGACTCAATAGCATCAGGTGGTGGAGAAAATGATGTGGCATATAAAAGTTCTTCCATTTTAAGTTATTTTGAAATGCATAAAAAATGAATAAAAAAAAATAATATCATATATATATCATGCAATTATTTTTCATGCAACCCACCAACTAAACTTTTAAAATCGCTATCTTACTTATTACACTAGACTGAAAATCAAATGCCCTCTAAAAATCATTTGTTATAAAATATATAAGAAAAAAAAAAAAACTATACATTTAAAGAAGTTTTTAAAAATAAATCTTAAAATTAATATTTTATTTTTGGGACATTTTCATACATAACCCCTCTTGAATTTGAATATGTCATGTCAATCACATTGAAAGAATAGAACGTAGAACATGAGGGAGAGAGAGGGAGGGAGGGAGGGAGAGAGAGAGAGATCAGTGCTTCGTGACTTGCCCATTCGGGACAAACTGGGATGTCCCTGGCTTTTATGATTTTTTTTTTAATATCATTAAAATTAAATGTTACAACAGAGGGGTCTAAAACCCCTAATACATGAAATGTTCATCCTATTTATAGAGAATATGACAATACATTAAAAATGTATTTATGCCCCTACTTGAGAGAGGGTTGTACACGACATACCAGCCTTTTTCCATATTAAGTATGTCGCTAGGCAACCCTTCGGTCGATTGGGCTTGCCTTTGGTCGGCTGAGATTCCTTTTAGTCGGTTAGCAGCCCTACAATTGAACAACATTCCTTTGGTCGATTGGTAGCCCTGCGACTGACCAGCAACTCTTCGGTCGGATGACAACCCTTTAAACACCTGATAGTCCTTCGGTCGTTTGATTGGACTTCATTTGGCGGGCATGCCTTCATTTGACTAGTAAGCTTTCGTTCAGCGGGCAACCTTTCGTTAGGTTGTGCTTTGATAATTTGATTTGTTGGTGATCGTCTCACTTAGCCTATAGTCACCTGATAGCTCTTCCGTAGGCAGGATGGCTTTTGGTCATCTGACTGGCCATCGATCGTCTAACTGACATTCGATCGTCCGACTGGCCTTTAAGCGTCTGATATTCCTTCGATCATCTGACAGCCCTACGGTCATCTTGATGGCTTTATGTAGGTGGAGCTGCCCTTTAGGTATTGTTAGATCTTCTAAGAATCCCTATGGGCACATTTTAGCGTGCACCACAAAACTTTTATGTATTTACACATCTGACATAATTTTTACTTTTACTTGTGTAATTAGCGTCTTCCATATTTGCATCAAATATATATATTCGTGAATAAATGCGGGGTAATATAGGAAATTCGGTATGCGGGGCGTCCCCGTTCCCGGAAGCTTACCGGCTGTTATCATCTGACTCTCATTTCCTCCTTCCATCTTTCGCCCTTCAACTATTTATTCCCCGACTTCATCGCGGCGAAATTCCCAACTTCTTCCCGCTCAGCTGATATCCGATTCTCCTTATCCTTACGTCGCGATGTTTCTGACGGAGAAGAATGCTTCTCCTTTTTCCCTCTTCTTCTCTTCAAGCCCCAAAAAGTCGCCCGCTCGCGGAATCATGAAGCCATTTGAAGAAACCTTAATCACCCGGCTGAGCTCCCTCCTCCCGATCCCCGACTCCTCGCCATCAGTCCCTCTCTCCTGGCTCTCCCGCGCCGTGGATCTGCTAACTCTAACTCTAGCAGACGTGGCCGTCGTCATCTCAGATCCCTCCCTCTCTACCACCGATCGCGCCGCTCTCTCTTCTCACCTCGATTCCAGCGTCGCTCTCCTCGACGCCTGTAACGCGATATCGGCCACAATAGATCGTATCCTCCACGGCCGCCTCCTCGTCCGACTTTCCCTCCACCTCATCTCTTCCTCACCATCGCTCTCTCCCGATCGACTCCGCCGCGCTCGTTCTGCGATCGCCGAGTGGGAGGCTGCCGACGCCTCGCCGGCGAAGCCGAGCGACTCCATGAACCTCTGCAGGCTACGACCTAAGGATCCGAATCGCGGCAGGCTCACCACCGTCCGCCGCGCGATTTACGCCGTCGAGGCGATATCTGATCTGGTAGCGAGGACCGCCCTTGCATTTTTGGGGTATAAAGGGGATTTTCTCTTAGGGATTCGTGTTTCTACTGACTTTGCATGGGCAGCGGCGTATAACGAGGTCGTCGAGAAGATCTCGCCCAAGCTTTCTCGTGGGGAGATCGCCGGCGAGATCGAGAAGATGAAGAGGAGCGTGAGGAAACTGGCAATTAACGTCGACAAGCACGACGTCGGAGAGAAAGTAACGGAGGTGTTACGTGACGCCGTCAGGGGAGGGGAGGAAGCCGTAGAAGAATTGACGGAAGGAATGGATCGGATGGCTAACGCCGTTAACGCGCTGTTTCGCGCGGCTTTGGAAACGAGGGAGGCGGCCCTTGAGTGCTTTAGGGTTAGGTCTGGAAGGTGTAATTAGGGTTGTGGTTGGCGTAATGGTAATTTCTCTCGCGTCAGAAATGGTTTGCTTAACGCTTAACTATAATGGGAATTTGGACTGTTACGGTAAGCGATCTGTAACATTCATTGCCAATCGGTTTTCTAATACAAGTATGGGGGTGCTATTTCATAAGATGTTTGATGCTTTTGCGTATATATGTGAAGGATTTGTAAAGTTGTAAGGATAGTTGAAAATTAGTGATTTATGTACATACTAAAAAAATAATAGGGGGATTTACAATTTTATAACTAATATCAAATCAGGAAAATTCGCATATGTATCGCACAATTCTGTTGTATTTATATATCTAACGCCTACTCTTATTATTTTGGTGTTATTAACCTATATATGAAAGGTGTATTTCCCTTTTAAGAAGGTAATGTTTGATGTGATTTTAAAAATTTGTATGCTAGTAAATATGAATGTTTAGGTGTTAGATATTTAAATACATAAAAATTGTGGTAGGTATGTAAATGTCTCTTAAACTGGAAAAAATATTACCTCAGGAGTACTGATGCATCAAACTCCAATAAAGAGGTGCCACGTGGCATTATGATGTGATCATTATATACGTGACACCTCCTCATTGAAGTAATGATGCATCAGTACTTCTGAGGTAATATTTTTTCCTTAAACTGATATAACTAAAATCTTTTATCACTTTAAAAGTATTACTAAGTGATGAAATAAAGAGAAAGGTTTAAGTATTGGATATAGAAATATGTAAATTCATTGTATGAAACTGTGAATGTAAATTCCTTTGAAAAATTCTATTGATCAAGCAAAATTTTTTTATAAAAATGTTGTGCGCTAAAACTATATGATTGTGCGATAATGTATGAGTATTCCTTAAAATTCATAAACAAGACATTGTTTTTGAATTCAAGATTAAAATAGATCCTTAAAGAGCAGCCATAAAGATGATCTCTCGAAATATGGATGAAAGAGTTGAAGTCATGAGAATTTGAAAAAGAGATCGTTTTAAAAAAAGAAAGACATCTTAAGAGAGACATAGAAAGAGATCTTAAGAGAGACATCTTTGGGTAATAAAGAAAAAGATTCTTTAGTCCTCAATATATCCACAATATCTCATAGTTATAGAATGATTTTAGGTTTTGAGTGTTACAATAAAGGCCACATAATAAGCAATACATAAATAATATCATATATGATTAGTTTAAATATGTAGAGCCAAATATGTCATAACTCAATCACAACTCATATTAGCGAAAGATTGTTCCAGTCTAAGAATAAAGTCGGATTTATCCGAATGCTAGTTTGATTAATTGGGAAGATAAATTGCTCGACTCAAAAACACAATTATGGGTGCGTTTGGGGGCAGCTTGTGTTTTTCAAGATAAGTTGATTATCCTGAAACGCGGCCCGCAGGTGGGCCGCGGGGTTTAACCCGCGGTCTGAGTTTAGTGTAAAAATCAAACGCGATTTCGAATAAACTGGCGAAACGTGCGAACCAAACGGTTGACGACGTTTTGAAAACGCGAAAACGCCTCCCGCACTTATAAGTTGCTCCAAACGAGCCCTATAATACTAGTCAATTAAACAGCTCCTAGATTCAATAGTTGGTCAATTCAATCAAGTCAACGGTTCGTCAATTTGGCAGCATGTACCTTGAAGTCATTCATTTGGCGAAGTCAATTCGACCAAGTTGGCATATCATTAATTCGACAACTTGCTTTTAGGGTCTTAATTCTCTTATATCTTTGAAAGACGACCGTAGAAATATGTGATAATTTGTTCAATGCTTAACAGCTAGGTTTATATCTTGCTCATTTTTAAGGGATTAGTTCGAGCATCTTAGAATCAAGTTAGATCTATCCAAATGTTAACCAAAGAGGAGGATAGACCGGTCAACTTGACAACCCAAGTATAACACCAGCTAATTCGGCAACAAATACTTGGGCACTCGTCAATTTGGCCAAGTTGGTAGACAATCATTCCGGCTAGGGATGTAAACGAGCCCAGCTTGAGAGAGTTTGGCTCATGTTCGGCTTGTTCGAAATAACTCGAGTTCAAAATCAACTCGTGTTCAAAATCAGCTCGTGAACAGTGTGTTCGTGTTCCGCTTGATTAAAATATTCATGTTCGACTCGAAATTAGCTTGTTAAACCTAAATTGAGAAAAATAGATGTAAAATGTGAGATTCAAACCTGAATCAAATATATACAAAAGAATGCACTAATCACATTGTCACATGAGGTCTTATGATTTAAACTTAAACATAAATATATATAATATATTATTATATAAATAGTATATGTAATATATTGCTATATAAATAGTTATATAATTTTTTTTTTATTTTGAGCTAAAAAGAGCAGAACACGAGCGAACAATGAGTTGTTCGTGTTCGGCTCGTTTATAATTCGAGCTTTAAAATTTGTCCGTGCTCGGCTCGTTTACTTAACGAACCGGCCGACCACGAGCTACTTAACGAGCTGAACACGAGCTGTTTGCGAACAACGAGCTTTTTTGACAGCCCTAATTTCAGCAGCCCGTACTTGGCAGCTTGTCAATTCGGCCAATTCGGCCAATTCGGCCAATTCGGCAACTGATCAATTAAACCAAGTTGGCAGATCTTCGATTCAACAGATTGGCTCCCCCCAAAGGCATACAAGGCTACATCTTACGTTTTATAGTCCGTCTTAAAAAAATTCATTAACATAAAGATTTTCTTTCATATCATTAAGAAATTTAAATAATGTGATTTTCAAAATAAAAAAGAGGGTTAGTTGCTTTCACTTTCCAAGCCAGAGGTGTGACCGAAGAAGTTGGCCATAATAACCTTTTGCGGTTAAGGTGCGACCGAAGAAGTTGGCCATAATAATCTTTTGCGGTCAAGGTGTATGCAGATCAATTTGTAACCCTATTATAGCAATGAAGTTAAAAAGCAGTATATTCTAAATGTAGGATAAGCCTGCACAATAGAATTAAGTTAGAGACACGTTTTCCTAATTGAGATGTAATACTATTTTGGTAAGGGTAATGTCCTAAAAGAACAATAAGTTTCAAGTAATAAGTTTAATAATGCTTCATCATTATTGTAGAAGCATACATCCTATAACTCCATTGGAGTCAATTTGAACAAAAAATTTGTTTTTTGAATATTGTGGGCATCCTGAGTAATATGGCAATTATAAAATAACAAATCAAATAAAAGTTGAGGTTTCTTAACATTTCGCCATAAACATAACACTTAGCAGCTAAGATGGCCAAGTCTTCCTAGCCCTCAAAAAGCGGCTATGAAAAACAGTGGGTTCGTTACATTTTCCACTGCATCGATCAGTTAATAAAAAACCCATACGTATGTATACAAAACTTCCCACCAAGGAGCAAACTGGCAACATTTTTAAGTACTAGGAGTTGGACAAGCTGCATTTGGGTTAGATACGTCAGTCCAAAATTTGGCCACTTAAATAGCAGGCATTTCCTATTTTACGAGCAAAAGGGTCAGAAATGACTTGCCACTAAGGTATACTAGATTTGTGGCTTCTCATTGTCATTAGACGTTGGTTTTAAAGTTGCCAATCTATTGGAGAAAGGCCTAGCCTCTCAAGCATCTCATTTGTCTTGGAAAAATGCCTGTTATAGAGGAATTAAGATATTAGAAGTGTAAATAAAGTGTCACATTAGAAAATAGTGGTATTGTAATATAGACCAGTGAAAGATACGTAAAAAACCTAAATTTGCAAGGCATACATGTAAATAACAGAATAAAATTCAATTCAAATCTCCAAGCAGATAACAGCATTCTGAAAAGAATTTATGTTACGTACATCAAGCGAGATCACGATAAAAAAGAAAAAAATCATTGATCTTTACAGTATCAGCTTAATGATAAATTTTAGATATTCATCTCTTCTTATTTAGTGTAAAAACTAGAAAATTTATAGGTAAAATGGGAAATATAAGTGAAATAAAAGCCAAGTGATTACAATTTTCAACTCAGACGGTATTATTTAAACATTCAAAAATTTTAAAGAGGCATAAAGTGCAAAAAACTTTCTAGTGGATTTATATATCCCGGAAAATTTTGGGTCTGAGAAGCAAAAGCATAGAATCAATAAGAATGGAAACGGAAGATAAACCTGCATCCAAAAAAGCCTCTATTAGCAGAAAGTCCTGACGGATGAGCTGCTTTAAGGATATGGTGCTTTGTAGCATCTATCAGTCTGCAAACAAAAACACACAGGCATCTTCAGAAAATAAGTTTTAAATAGAAAATTAACAGATTTACATACGCTATTCAGTATTTATGCAGCCAGTGACAAATTCAAATAAGTCATCGGACATCTTGTTTTATTGAAAGTAACCAGAATCGTGTTACTGTGACTGAAAGAGAACTCAAAACAAGTATTAAATATCCTTCATTTTTTGTTAGGGCTCCTAAGTAGGAAAAAGATGATCATGTGAGCAGATTCTTAGAATATAATCTCTTCCTATAATCATTTTTTTTAACAAGTCATAGGGCGGTAAGATAAAACAATTCAAAGAGCTTACTTGGACTTCCCTTGAGCTGAATTACCCCAGAGAATAAAAACAATGCCTCTTTTATTCTGTGATATTGTTCGAATAACAGCATCAGTAAATGGTTCCCACCCTTTTGTGGCATGAGAATTAGCTTGATGTTTTCTAACTAAAGCACAAGAAAAAAAAAACAATCAACTAGTCTCTCAATTAAACAGCATTAATATAATTCCATGCCTTCATCAATTAATAAAGTAAATAAATACTGATTCCACCTTCTTGGGTTAAGTACTACAATACTTAAGATAGCAGTGTTTTCCTACAATCCGCCATGAACTAGTGCAATACATTAGCTTTCCTTCTGTCTATACAAACAGCAACCTCCTTATCTAAGTCTAACCATCAACTTCCTATAGAATAAATTGTTCTACTTGCACTTTTGTTAGGATGTTCTCTTAGGCGTTTTTGTTGAAGGGGTGCATAAAGCATTTCATAGTTAGTATGTACAAGAACTAAAGCGGTAGCTTAAGAAAGATTGAGCACAAGGAAATAAACCAGATAATTTGATCAAGTGAGTTGGAATAGCAATGATTATCTATTAAAAAAATCAATAAACTTGTCATTAAAAAAAAAAAAACTACAATACAATCGAACAAACACTTCATGTTTCCCAAATATGTTGATAAGTAAATCAGCTAAAAAGTAAGAAAATAAATTAATTAATTAACCACCATAATGAAGTTAATGTACGTAACATATATGTAACTTTTTATTGGTTTTAGAAACTTGGATCTCTTAAAAAGATGAGACGTGACTTAAAAAATGATAAATCAGCCGAAGATGATAAATGACTTCCTTATTGGTTTTAGAAGCTCCGGTCCAAAATGTTCTTCCTAACTCAGTTCCATTCACAATTACTCATTCACGCCTACCACAATACTATCTCACGTTTTAACTATTAAAGAGGAAAAAATCGATCATTTTATGCATCCAGCAATCGCAATTAAATAAACAGAAAGGAAGAGAGGGGTGAGAAGACGTTAAGCATTCAACAATGGATATCACATTCAACCCTTATTTTCATAGCAAGTGATTGTGTTCACACTGAGACAAAATGGCATATTTGGCCTTCTTTATAAAATGTGTAATCTCTTCATATCCCTTTTTAAAAATTTAATGAAATATTTGTTTTCTTAGCAATTGTGCCCATAAGGGGATCACACCAAACCACATAACCTTTTGACTCGAGTTCCAATTTTTTTTGTGTTTATTTTCTTATTTTTATTTGAATTTTCTCTAGAGTTACTAACATTTTTAGAAATAGAGTGTATAGGCAAGATGTGATGAAAGATCATATGAATTGCAATAAATAAAATTTTAAGATTTAACTAGCAAATAATTAACTAATCGCTTAATGACATATTCTAATTAGAAAAAACTAGCTTTAAAAATACTTCTTTACCATATCCTTACATTACAGCTGCATTTAGTGTCAGAAGTCTGAACTGGTATAGAAAAGCAGAAATGATTTGATCAACCACAATATCACCAAGGGACAAACTTACATGAGACTTTAACACATCAAAGAAACTTAAACAAGTACATGATAAACAGTGCAAAGGCTAGCTTAATCAAGATAGCTAATAGAAGGTCTGCTTTGCTTCTGTTTATTGTTGCTATGGATTTATTACATTTTCTACAGAGGGATAGGATACCTCACTGAAAAAATCAATAAATAAGCTGAACAGTAACCAAAAGAAATAAACAAGTATAATAGAAGAGAGATGTCGAAAACAAGTTGTTTCAATATGTGATCACAATTAATATGAGATAGTAGATACAACTTTACAGAAATAATACTGAAAAGAAATCATAAAGGCACCTCAAAGTTAGAAGAAGGTTGATCCTAAGACCATTAATGATATTTTCTCAGAATTATACACAGTGAATATACAAATGAGTGAAGAGCGGATCTAAATTTTAAATCACTTCATATTAGAGCATCTGTTTGGAACCAAAGTAAATAACTAATAAAGGGCCCAAAGCAGTCATTTTGGATCAGATACACAAAGGTTTCGTACTGGATCTGGTTATTAAACCTTTAAGCCAACGGTTCAAAACCAGTTCCTGGATGCATTTCAAACTAACCCAACTAGACTTCCACTTTCAAAATAATACCCCAACAGAAACCCCCACATAAACTCATTTGATTTCTCCCATATCCTTTAAGTTTCCAATGGACCATATCCAATGTTCCAAGCATTAAGCCTTATCATCCAGTCCCGACTTGTACAATTCAGAAATATTCTTGGATAAATTTGCTTAACACTATTACTGTTGCCTCTCTTCTCCATTGTTCTACACTACAAAAACCACTTCCTGAATAGAAGATATTCAATGCATGCTGCAGCCTGTAGGTATTAATAATTTCAAAAAACTCTATGTAATATACCTTAGTTATCATATATATTCTATTTTCATAGCCAGCCTTATTTAATGTGATATTATGTCACATTTCAGAAATTCACATCCGTTTCTTCATCATTCTGCTCTCACGGATATTGACGTTGATGCATTTCCAAATTCTCCATTTCTAGGGCTGTTAAAAAAGCTCGTTGTTCGTGTTCCTGAGTAAATGAGCCAAACATGAACAAATTTTTTAAGCTCGAATTATAAACAAACCGAACACAAACAACCTTTTGTTCGCTCGTGTTCAGGTCGTGTTAGCTCGAAATAAATAAATTATATATATTATTTATATAATAATATTATATGCTATTTATGTAATAATATAATATATATATTTAGATCTAAGTTTAAATCATAATAGCTCGTATGGTCATGTGGCCCTGCACCATCTATTGCACAGAGTGGTATAGGTTCAAATCTACCACCTTATATCTATTTTTTCCAATTAATTTTAATGAGCCAAACATGAACGATTTCGAATGAGCCGATTTCGAACGAGCAATTTTGAACAAGCCGAACATTAGTCAAGCCTGAGCTCACTCAAGCTCGGCTCGTTTACAACCCTATCCATGTCAATGTCAGTGTGACTTAGTATTCATCTATTATAGGGACTAAGACATTTTTTCCGTGAAATCCTGCAAAATTATGAAAATTTAATACAATCCACTAATAGATTGTTCATAAGGAAGTTTGCATATATGCATGCCTAAATAATAATATCAAAGCATTAGAAGGCTTATAAAGGACATAATCATGTAAGCACAACTGACAAACAATGATGAAAACAAAAAAATGGTGCGTACCAGTAAGGACAGTATTGAGAAGAAGAACGCCCTGCATAAGATCATCAAGTTGCGTTAAGTTGCAGCAAGATAAATAAAGCATAAATGCTTCATATTTTTTATTGGGTACTGAAAAAGTTAACCGGTAAAAAAAATACAAACAGCCAATAAAATGAAGATTTTCTATCAGCAGGCAAATTACAAAAAATGTTTCCGTGCATCATATAAAATACGACATAATGTGATATATCCTTTTCAAGAGACTAAGTCATGATTGGTAGAGATGGTTTTCAAGATTTGAAGCTGCATATCCATATTAATAAATCATAGTTCAAACTGCAAAAGATGATTCACAACTACTTTTTGGCAAATTTAGAAAGGAAAGCAATAGCTAGTATAATGTGACGGTTTCTTTTTTATTTCCAATGAAAAAAGAAAATGGTTTTATCGCACGTCAAATCCAAACACAAAAATTCAAACAATTTCTTCACCAAAAAGTAAAATTAAAAAAAAAAAAATCTTGAGTTGCTTATGGACAAATTGGTCCTTTAGTTGTCTGTTCAGTTGAAAGCCCATAATCACTCCCGGGGCACTTGAGCCCCCAAATTTAATGAGTCCTTATCATGCCCAAAATAAATGAATAATATGTTCCAACAGCAAACTATAAATAGTTTGAAACCGCAAAAAACAACATAAGCTGTGCTTCCCCAGCCCGCCATGCCCGCATATAAATTCTATGTGCAACACCACAAAGTATTGTCTTACAAACATAAGAGGTAGATGAAAACCATAGTGACATAGACACCGGAACTATAGGTAAGAACTGTCAAAGTGAAGAGCTAAATGTTACACAGACAAACTGTCTCATAACATTCCACAATACCAATGTGAAGAAGCATTACAATCAAAGTTCAGAACTCAAAGAAACCCCACAGAAACATAATTGAATCATCACAAAAACAGTATGCACTACCTGCACTGCCCATCTTTCCAGATTTCCATGTAAGGGAATGGAACAGCCAACATCCTTTTGAAGTTCCTTAAAAATATTGATTAAGCTTGATGGAGGCTTGATGCCCTCTGGCACTGAGAAAGCGAGGCCCATAGCTTGACCAGGTCCATGATAAGGATCCTGAAACAGAAGATTACGGTTATATCATAAGGTTTCTTCACTAAAGCCACAATTTATATAGCCAGGTCAGCAAATAAACATAACAAACTTATAGTACAACCACTCTTGATTTTGCTTATAATTTCATAATCATTAGCATTATCCCAACAATTTTGTTTCAAATTTATTATTCCACATCCTCCATTTATACCAATTTAATGTTATAGGAGCTGCTAACTTGTTGATGCACAACTTTTCTCCATGTTACGTTTTGATCAATCCTTCTATTTTCATATTCCTTCACATTAATTCTATCTTATCTTTTTGAGGCCTCAATCAAATCTTCAGTTTGTTTGTTACAAATAATTCAATCTCAAGTCATGAGAGATCCATTTTTTAAGCTACCCATTGTTTGAAACCTGTTAGATTGATAATTGTGTTAAGGCAAGAAATACAGGATTGCTGATGAGCCAATGCAGGTGTGATAACTATTAGATGAGATATATTCGGCTTTAATTTAGATGATAGTTTGATCAGATGTTCACCCCAAAATCTGCTAAGAATCAACACAAATCTAGGCAACCAATACAAAATTTTCCTGGAGAATCATCCAAAAAATCTACAAGCATTCAAAATTGAACATTTCTGCCAATTTTGACCAAATGTTCTACATATTACTAAAGATTTATTAAGAGAACTATTAGGAATACTCTCTAAATCCAACAAGTATAGCCCACGACTAATACACACAACCCTGGAAAACCACTCACACCTAACCGCTACCCCTTTCACCGTTCAAAAATTGCTGCTCAAAGATTCACAAAAAAAAAAAAATCGCAAATAAGAATCGCAAATAAGAAGAAATGTAGAAGAAATGTAGCAGTTTCGTGCCAAATTTATCATTTTTCCTCATAATCATATTTCCAAACGCATTCCTCCCTCCTAGTATCTGAAAAGATTGGCTTCTGAACTCACTATACAAAAAATATAGTATTACAGACTAGGAATCATCAAGTCGAGTGTTATACCTGTCCAATGATCACAGCCTTCACCCTATCAAACGGAGTAGAATTTAGGGCATTGAATATAAGGTGTGGCGGAGGATATATTGGAACCATCCCCCGTAGTTCGCTCTCCACGAACCTACAAAGATTCTTCCAATAGGGATTTTGAAGCTCCCCTGGAAGAGCTTCAAGCCACGTCTCCTCCACTAGAAGCTCCTCCAACTTCGCATATTCCATCCCTTTGGCTACATTCAAAAGCTCCGGTAGTATCTTCGGAAGCGCTGAAGGCTGAGTGATACACGGAGAAGAAGAAAAAAAAAAAGCGCCTTACCTTTCGCGCTCTCAATTCTCTCGACGCAGACCCTAGCATTTCTTTTCGATCTCGCCAAATATTTATTGAACTCAACTCTTCTTCGCTGTTCATCGGTCAGAATGGAGGGTGATTCTGGTTTAAGCTCGTCTGAGCCGCCATTGCCGACAGAGGGGTTACTGTGAGTGGAGATGCATGAACTGGGGACTAGGGTTTCGCGTGACGGTGGGAGAGATCGGAGACGCTTGGCTGGCTGCAAGATTTCTGCTAGGGCTTGGGAAGGGGACGAAGCCATTTTACGGACGAGCTCCGTTGAAGAGGTTCGAATATTTATGGAGCCGAAGGGTAGAGATTTTGGCGGGAGATGTAGACCGGCAGACGCAGTGGATACTCTGAAGCGAACGAAAAATTATTGACCGACACTATCGCATCAGCTCATTTACGGTCTCATTTAATTTTTTTTTTTAAATAATTGAAATATAATCTGACAGTAGATCATGATAATTTACGGTAAAGGTCGGACACCGCATGCAGAGATGCAGAGATGCATGCGATGTCCGTATGCAATAATTTCTCGAAGCGAACGATATATGATCAGTCCAAATTGAAAGAACCTACAAATAGGGTTTTGAATTAAAATGTAATTTGTATTTATTAGTTCATAATTATACAAAGAAGAATGATATTTATATAAGAAGCCTAAGATTAGAATAAAAAAGAGAAGTAAATAAAGGCAAAAAATTTGCCTATTTAATCCCAAATTCTGCCTATAGAATCAAGGCTATTAACACCATATCAAGACTATTAATGATTCGTTTCTTATAGAATCAAGGTTATTAATGTCATTGATTCCTTTAACAACCCTCTCAAACTCATGATGGTATAGTGGATGTCATCTTGAGTTTGCTTAGTAGACCTTGAAAATGCGTGGGAGGATGGGTTTTTGTGAAGATATCAACTGTTTTGTTAGCAAAAGAGGCAGAAATTAAAAGTATGGTGCCCTGTGTTTAGTACGCTCATGAAAAATGTCATTATGAGAGATCTGTATAACACTTCTATTATCATAATGAAGTATAGTAGCAGAAGATTGTTGTACACCCATATCAGATAGAAACCAGTGTAGTCAAAGTAATTAAAATGTGACGTCAGTCAGAACGCGATACTCAGATTTTGAGTTAGAACAAGTAATGACTGTTTGCATTTTGCTATGCCAAAAGATAAGAGAATCTTCTAAGAAGAAGCAATAATCAGTGGTAAAAAGACGATCTATGGGATTACCAACCCAATTAGCATCAGAGTAGTCAGATAACACCAAAGAGGAGTGAGCAGAAAAATGTAGACCATTAAAAAAAGTTTCTTTAATATATCGAAGTATCCGAAGAACTGTAGAAAAATGTGATGAGCGAGGGACGGACATGAAATTATTGACTAAGTAAACATCATATGAGATATTAGGTCGAGTAATAGTGAGATAAACAAGACTTCCTACAAGTTGTCGATATAGAGTAAGATCATCAAGATGAGTTTCATCGAGAGGAGTGAGTTTGCAATTGAGTTCCAAGAGAGTTTGCATAATAACTCAATTTTTCCCTTTCATCTCTTATCAATTATACACTGGTTCGGGAATATTGAAAAATGACTCAACCTAGCAACCCACTCACGCTAGACTCAAAATAGGGTTTAGGTTCACTATAGAAATAATGAAATTTTTGTGTTATAAGAAACTAACGCAAAACCAAAGCAAATCCAACGATATAAAACATGGGTCAGTAAATTAATTTTACTTGAATTTGCGTCGAAAAAATTTGACGATAACTTTTATGTCAAAGTTATCGTCTTTAAATTACGCTGCAAAATAGTTTCATGAATACCGTCGAGTTTGTGTTGAAAATTATTGGATGCAATTTTGCATCATAAAAGTTGACGCTAGCCCGACACAAATATTTAAATGAGAAAAAAAATTTAAAAGAACTTTTTGGATTCGTACAACCTGCACACAAATAAAAATAATACTAATGATCACAACAACAAGCAAAACTATATCATAAAAGAATACCAACAATGATAATTAACATGGTGTAATAAATACAAATCTAAATTATCAAAAGTTTACATCTACTTCCTCAATATAAGTTTCTTGATCTCTTCTTTTCCTATTTCTCTCACTCGTATATGAAATCCACATAAAACATAAGTTCAGACAAGAAAATTTTAGTTCAGATTCAACAATGTCATTTGGACCTCTGGCTTCAATGCTGAAGCAAACAACCATGGATACCTCTTAAATTCCTTAATATAAAAGATAAAAATACAGCTTGAACAACAACTATTTGCAGCCTTCCAACATTATTCACTGCATCTAAGTGTATTAGCTAATCATAACTCACCACCTACATTTTCTTAACTAAACACAGTGCACATTTTTTTCACACAATGACACTAATTCAATATAAAAAATGGACATATTTTCTCTGTGGCATCAAAATCAAGATAAATAAAAAAAATAAAAAATTGTTTGTATGCATGCCTTCCCAAACTTCATATTAGAGACTTTAATTCATACTTTCAATGAGGTATAAGGTTTCTTTTTCCAACAATACTTGTAAAGACAGCAACGCATGAACTCAGTTGAAGTTCATCCGTTTTTAAGACTTGTTTGCACAATGCCTTCATAAAACATGTTTTTCTAAAACAAGTTTGAGGAAAATTTTTAAACTCAAAAGTCCAGACTGCTTCAAAATTTATAATGGCTAAGCATGATGGAGTTAAATCTGTCAACTAAATGCCTCAAAGTTTAACATTTGGTAAGAACGATTGTCTTGATAAGTAAAGCTCAAGTACATAAAAAAAGAGAGAGAAAAAATTACAATTCCCAAATATTTCCATCCAACTTGAATTCTACTAATCACATTTTCATCCATATCACCGTCACTTTAAACAATTGACACGAGATATCTAAAATGTTTGTTGTTTTTAATGATTTGGTCATCCATTATCACATAAAAACTTTTAGCATTGAAAAGCATACATTCCTCAATGGTTTCTGATGGGAGTTTCAGTGGTGTTTGTGAGCCACGATCTTGTCAATGTCTTCCCAGTTAGCTCTGATGGTGACTTTATCGTGAAGGTTCGTTCACAAAGTTGAGGGTTTTGAGAGAAACCAAGAGGGGGGAGGGATAAGCGAGGGTTTCGTCGGAGATGGGCAAAACCAGGAGATGGGGGAGCCGTAAGCGAGGGTTTCAGGATTATGGGAGAAGAAATGAGACTTAAGGAGCGGAAAATGTATATTAGGGCATTAGCGTCGGATTATTTTGACGAAATTACCTAACAGCGAAGTTTGAGGCAAAATTTGCATCGAACATAAGTCAACACAATTAAGTACAAGCTTACGTCGACTTCTTCGACACAAATTCCATTGTAATCCAGCTTCTCAGTTTGACGTTTTGAGTTTAGCATTTGCGTCGAATTTTTCAACACAACTCAAGCGCAAAACCTGACGCAAATGCCGAACTCCAGTTTTTGACGCAAATCAAACACAAAACCAACACTAATATTTGCATCGGTATTCGACACTAATTTCAACATCTCCTGTAGTGGTTGGCCCAATTACTATTCAAGTTAGTCTAATTTTAGACCATACACTCAATTATTATTTAGGTTGACTTCATATTGACACGACAACCTAAAAAACCAAATATGATCCCAATTTTATTTAACTTTAGGTCAGATCATGTTATATGGTTTTAAATTAGTATAATTGGATTAAAAGGCCAATTTTTTATGTTAGTTAGGCCATTTTGATTCTTAAAAAAGTTTGAACCATATAATACCCGGTTATACATGCTATGCGTGGATTAAGCAGGCACGACTTGGTTTTCATTGAATATTATAGTTCATATAATAAGTAGATATATGTACTATAGTTGTTACTTGTGTTTGAACACATTGACGATTGACCAAGTATTTTTCAATTTCATTGGGATTACATCAAGGGCCGACTTTAAGCCCATATCTTTTTGCTTTAATTGCGAATGTTTCTACTGGATATTTATAAGGGGATATCCTTGGTGTACGGTCTTTGATGATGATATCCTTCTTGCGGATAAGACTAGAGGTGAAGTTCATAAAAACTTAATATTTGGAGGTCAAATTTATAATCTTAAGGCCTTCGTTTGAGTCGATCTAAAACTAAATACGGAATATTATTTTAGTAGTAGTAGATCTAGTGGCAGGGTTGTAACAACTGGTGATCAAATCATTAAAAGGATTAAACATTTTAGACATCACATCAAATATATTGTAAAACATCAGGTCTATTAAACTAAGATGATAGTGATGTTGATGGGGATCTTATTAGTAGAATTTAAGTTGGTTGGTTGATGTAGAGAAGTACATCAGGGATATTGTGTAATAGAAAAGTACCATAAACCTAAGAAAAGTTTTAAAATATGGATATTGTGTGATAGAAAAGTACCATAAACCTAAGAAAAGTTTTAAAATATGGATATTGTGTGATAGAAAAGTACCATAAACCTAAGAAAAGTTTTAAAATATGGCGGCTAGACCTGTATAGCTTTATGGTGTCGAATGTTGGCCTATAAAAGGTGCATAAAATTAGGCTGTGTTATTGTGTTGAGAATGCTTAGATGGAAGTGTGAATTTGCACGTAGAAAAAAATTGTGAAATGAATATGTTTTTGAAATGGTTAGCTCTAGCTCAAACAAGATTAGGGAGAGTCGCCTTAGCTAATTTGGTCATATTAAACATGGACCATCTGAAGACCCTATTAGGAGAATAAACCTTTTAAATTCGACTTGTGTTAAGAGGTAGAAGTATGCCTAAAAAGACCTGGGCATATTGTATAGAAAATGATTTTAATTTATTAGAATTAAATGAAAATATGCAACCTAATAGGACAGGATGGAGAAAAAGGATTCATGCAGTGGACCCCGCTTAGTGGGACAAAGGCTTATTGTTGTTGTTGTTTTATAATAAATAGATTAAGTTTTGATTAAACCATAATCAAGTCAAATCAACTTTAGATTACATCCTTACATCTTTACTTGACCAACTTGTATTGATACCCATAACATATGTTGTTGCAATGCAACTTTCTCCTCACTTTTGCTCATAAAGGACAATTCATTAGACTTCATAGAGATGTCTTAGAGTCTTCGAGGAGATATGAAATTCGTTTGCATGTGATATTATTCAACCTCTTTTAAGAGAGAAAAAGTTAAGACTATAAAAGCTAATTGAGTATTTGTGATTCGCTTAAAATGAGTATTTATAATTAGAAGGAGAAAAAATTAGTCACAAATTTTTGCTTTAAAAAAAAAACATCATCAAATATTATTATTTAATCATAAAAAAACACCTTAAAACTTTTTGTAGGAAAATTAAATATTGTAGCATT